GATCCCTGGCCAAGCCCCGCTTGCAGCGTCAGCGCAGTCGCTCTCGCAGCCGAAGCCGGCCGTCGGCGAGCAGGGGTAATTCGCGCCGTCCGGTCGACCGCCGCTCGCAGCTGTTGGCGCTCCGGGGCGCAAGTTCTCACATTCCGTACTTGGGGGGGAAGAAAAGACGGGTCCCGATTCAACTCTTGTACTTCACGTCCGACGACGTTGCTGTTGATGAAAGCAGCGAGCTTAACTCACGTCGTGAAGTGGCAAACCAAAAATGCTCAACGAACAAATGAGAAGAAGCGAGAGCCGCCAGAAGCCGGGGGGGCTTTCGAGGCCGGCACGAGACACCACGCGCCATGTTGTCGCCGCCAACACGGCCCCAAAATTCTCTCCGAAGCAGTTTGCGGATGGATGGGGAAGAGTTTTTGCTAGGCTGACTTTGTGTCTCTCCTTGATACATTTTCCGAGTTGTTTTCAAATCTCGAAATGACCCGGCGCCCCTCTGAGCTCATCCGCCCTGACGCACCTGCCCGGCCGGCCGGCCGGCGCCTCGGGTCTGCATGGGACCAGACATGATTACAAGTACCAAGAACTAAACGGAGGCTCAGAGGAGATGGAGCCTTTTCCGTTGCCGGTCTCTCTCTCTCTGGAATGAGCTCCCGCTGAACCTTGGAACGGAGGCTCAGAGGGGATGGAGCCTTTTCCGTTGCCGGTCTCTCTCTCTGGAATGAGCGAGCTCCCGCTGAACCTTGGTCGAGCCCCCTCGCTGGCCATCTTTCCATCCCGCTTTAAAACTCACTCGTATTCTTTGGCACTTGACTCAGCATGACCCCAATGATGATCTTAGTTTGACTGTTTGGTGCCTTCGACCATCTTTGTGACGGATTTGTTGCCTTATTGTTGCATATATGCACGTTGTATGCAGCGATGGCTGTTTGATTTGAAAGTGCTCGAGAAATACACTTGAGTGGAGTGGAGTTGAGTTTCCCCCCCATCGAAAGCGTTTCGCTAGCCAGGGCTCCAATTTTAGGATTTTTTTTGAAACAGTTGCAACCCAATCCAGATGGTCCTCATAAAAAAAAAAAATAATAATAATAATAATAAATTCAATGGGCCTGGTGCGGCGGGAGAGTCAATCTGCTGCATCCCGCGTTTCCATTGACGCCACGCGCCGAGGTGGGCGTTTTCGCAACGGAAGGCGGCAAGCTGCGCAGCCAGAAGCCGGTCGGTCGCGATTCCTCCGCGGGCCGAGCCCAATTGACCTCCCGCCGCTCAATTCCACCGGTGGGCCCGTTCAACGGCAGACGGCTAATGTGGCGCGGGCTCACAAACGGGGCGGCGCTGGCCGCTGCGCAAATCTCAAAAGCGCCAAAAACATGAAACGTGCGCGCAGTTTCCAATTGCCCAAGTCAGTGCTCCTCAACCTCCAACGTTTGAAGTATGCGCGGGACCGCCCGATGGAGCCGCCGCGCGTTTCCATGGCACTCGCACTTTCCGGTTGGACCGAATGTCGCGTCGAATGCGACTGCGCCTTATTTTTGAGCGGACGTTCAACAAGGTCAACGGCACTCTGCATTTGCGTCCTTTGCAGAGTCGCCTCCAGAGAGGTCGGGGCGCCGACGCAGCGTGCCGGGCAGCCCGACGGACAAAAGCCCGCCCGCCATGGAGGCCGCCGCCGCGGCCGCCGCGCCCTTCAGAGTCACCGTGAGTACTGTGAGTCTTGTCTTTTGATTCTTCTGGCTTGGCTTTTGTTGTCCGGCGATGGGAAGAAAGTCGCTCGATGATCCGTCGAGCGAATGCGACGTAAGAAGCGGCGATATGGAAATTCGGTTGGGTGACAAGTCCCTCGGATGAGCCGGACACGCCCCCTGGGCCGCGGGCCCGCGGATGTCCGTTTCTGAATTTTAGATTTGGTGGATTTCTTTAGCTGCTATCGAGAACTACTTTTGCCAGGGGAGGGGCGAAGGTCGAGGCAAGGCTACCTTCAGAAATGTGTTTCTGATAAAGTAATGCTTTGGCGCCATCTTGCTGCCAAGGATTTACTGCGGGTGACGCGATGTATCGGCCTCGACCTCTTAGCACATTTACTGAGGAGTTGAAGAACGACAGGTCAGTCTTAGTACTTCTACTTCATTCCGTCGCTGGCGGCCCAAGGTCAAACGGCGGACCTTTGGACTTCTACGGCCGTCAATGGCAGTGAACGAATCAAGTCAGTCGAGAGCGCGAGTACTTGTGCCACCTCTGCCGACGTCAAACGGAGTCTCCGCCTGCTTTCCAGATGGACGCGATGTGAGCCCCGCTGGCTTTGATGAAGTGGAAGCGCAGTTTTTTCATGTTGGAGCGTGTCCGTGCAAGTCCTGCGCGGATTTCGCTTTCATTTCTCCCTGCGTGACATCAAAGCCGGTTCAAGCAAGCACACGCCGGTCAACGTACCACACACACACACGCACACACACGCAAGCGATGGTGTTTTTCATTCTTATTCCTGTGCAATATGCGCAGCGCCGAGTTTAATTCCGTCGACAAACGGGCGGTTAATTGAGCAGAAAATTCGGCAATGAGTCACCAATTTGAAGCTAATTAGCAATTAGCGGCGGGTATTTGCATGAAGAAGAAAGGAGCCAGGAGGCGCGACAGAGGTGAAGTGTCAACACCGGAGTTGTTGACAGCGCAGACAGGAGCACGGTGGGTCAGCGGGAAAACATCAACCCACAAAATAGGAATCCAAAATGGCCACGAAAACCACATCGCCGCCTTCTCGACAAGGTTCGTCCAACGTCTGCTCGTGCACGTACTTAAGCTTTGAAACGTGACGCGGGAGAGCTCGATACCGGAGATGGTTGCATCAGCGGACGCCTTTGCCGAGCATTCCGACTTTTAACTGAACGGGAGGGGGGCGAAAAACGCTCTCTGAGCTAAATCTGTCCAAATGTTTTTCCGTCACCTTGTTTGGTGGAGGCGGCGCTCGGAAAAGGAAGCGGCGCTCCAACTCTTCCAGCGTCTTCGTCGACATGACAAAGAAAGACGTGGCTTCTCAGCATCTATGAGAAGGAAGCGTCGAAGCAGTCCTGCATTAAATATCATGTTTGCATCATTCACATCATTACGCCTTATTGATGGATGGGGGGGGTGGTGTGTGTCTCTCTGCTGAGGTCGGTTTGTTTTCATTTCTGCAAAACTGCTTTTAGTGTTTTGTTTTTGAAGTTTCAGGTTTATTATTTTGAAATATGCCCGCCTGCGGTTGAAAAAAAGTCACATCCAAGTCAGCAAGTAAACGACAATTCTCAAAATCCCTTTTTTTTTTTAACGCGCAAGTGTCACAAAGTAAAAAGTGTCACGTTTCGTGTCATAAAGTGACGCAACGTTGGTGCGTGAGGTAGCTCGCGCGGCGGCGTCGTTATCGGCGCCTTATTTGGACATTTTGGCGGCAAAGATAGAGGCGGAGTTCACCCCGGCGCCGCCCCTGTCGTTCGCTGACAGCCCCCCCCCTCGAGAAGCGCAGGTATGAATCTTGAAGCGTGGCGCCGAGCATAGGCGAACCGCTAAGCTCGGCCGCCATGAGCTTCTTTGCAAACTCTGACCTGCGCGGATCTCCCGAATGGCCGGGCGGTCTCGTCGGCCGGACGTCGGACAACATTCGAGTACCGCGACGACGGCGGCAGATGGGCGAGATGCCCCAAAACAAAAACACGTGATGAACCGCGAGCCTACCTTCAAGCTTTATAATGTCCCAAAGTCGTCTCATCGGTTCAACCGTGCCGAGGGGCCCGAGTTCGGCAAGGGGCCGGGGGTTCGCCAACTCTGTCAGGATGTTGAAAATAATCTATTAGAACCGAATATAACATGGAGGCCGATTGCGCGTTTCTTCTTAGCGAGATTGAAAAGAATCTATTAGAACCGAATATAACATGGACGCCGATTGCTCGTTTCCTCTTAGCGAGGGCTTTAGCGCCATCTTGTGGCACATCACAGAGAGAAAAATTGCAAATCAAAGCGGATTGCGCAAAGAGCTCAAGATGGGTTCCACCTGGGTTGGGACATCAATCGGTGAGTTCATGCAGTTTCACATTTTACTTGCTGGTCCCTCCCCGGCATACTCGAGTCATTTCCTGGTGACGAGCGCTCGTGGCGGCAAACAAAAGGTGGTCTCGAATGATCTCCCCGAGCCCGGGGCGACCTCTCCGCGTCTGTGGCGGGTAATTACGCAGGGGGGCATTCTTTGACGACGGCAGGTCGTTTGACTACCGTGACAAAAACACGGGAATGCCAGAACAATAGAAACGGTAAACATGTCGACAGGAGGGCGAGCGAAGACAAAACAAGTCGGCGCTGAGACTTAAACGAGACCCGGCGGCCCGGGCGACGACTTCGGCGGGACTGCTGAAGTCGCCGCAGGTGATGCTGAGCGCAAAATGGAGATCAATGCCATTTGGCTGGCTGCGTTTTGCAGCGGTGCGGTGTTACGCGAATGAAAAACGTTCCAACAAACTTGGGAGCAGCAACACATACAAACTGAGCAGAAAACAAAACGTACAAGCGTGTCTTTTCCGTGACTTACGGTAAGACCGCTATCCCACCTCGCTCATCTTGGCTCTCGTTCATTGTCAGCGATTGCGGTTTTCGGGTGACAGAAACAGAAACGCAGCTTGTGTTTTAGCATTTAGCTCGCCATCGGTAATTAGCGCTCATCGCGGCGACATCTTGCGCCTCCTGATTTGTGACGTTGTTTTTAACCTGTTTTGTATAAAAGCGAAAACAATTTCGAGCACGTTGCTTCGAGCGTCTCCGGGACCAAAATAGTCATCGGTTGCACACGGTTCCGTCAAGACGCTACGTTGAATTAGCCCTCCGCAATCGCCGCGCGTCTTCAGAGCCGCGGCTTCTCTCGGCAAATAAAAGCAGCCTCGCGTCTGGGCGAACGCTGGCGGCATCCTGGCAGCTTTCTCTTTTTTTCTCGAGATTCTTCTCGCTCCAAATGCCAGCCGACAGTTGCCATGGCGACGGCGGGCCGCTTGGGGAGCGCGATTACAGATGTCGGCCCGGGCGAAAATAAACAAGGCGAGACAAACAAGAGGGATGGCGGAGGGGCACACACCCAAAACAAAATTCAACGGAGGGCGCGTAGCCGGCGAATTAGCGCCTAATGACTGTGTTTGAAGAGTAACCGGTCACAGAGAGGCCGCGACGTCATTAGCAGGGGACCGCAACGCGTCATCGCCGACGAACGCGCGGCGCCGCGTGAACGCTTTCACCTTGTCCTGATTCGGCCTGCTGAAACGTGACAAAACGGCGCTCGGAAAAGGCGGCCAAAGCATCGGCGCCATCTCTGGCGGGATGTTGAAGAAGCGAGCAGATGAACCGGGATGCCTTTGTTGGCTTTAAAGAAGCTGGCTTGGCTTTGCTTTGCTCACGTTTTACTCGGAGGCGGCGACCTTCTTCATCGCCGGCCGGCTCTCAAAAGGGCTCAAAAGAAGAAAGTCCAACTGATCAAATGAACAACCTGTTGGAACGGGAATTTGATCAACTGAGATGTGTTTTTGTTTTGGGGCGGCGGGGCCACCCAGGGCTTCCTGAGTCGGCGGCTGAAGGGCTCCATCAAGCGCACCAAGAGTCAGCCCAAGCTGGACCGCAACTCCAGCTTCAGGCACATTTTGCCGGGCTTCAGGAACGCCGACAACGACAGGTGAGTCCGTCACCCGCGCCGGGGACCGTTTTCCGCGCTCCGTCTTCGCGGGTTCTTTTTTCGGAGCCGCTTGATGCCGAAACTCTCGCCTATGGTTTGAAGGAGGCGCTCAGGAGGTTATGAAGGAGCCTCGTTCGGACAAAAGTAGTACGTTGCGGCCAACTTGTGACACGTTGGTGCCAAGAGACTATGTTGAAGGGGGTTGAGGAACTTCAGATCAAAAAGTAGTGCTTTGCCGCCATCTTGTGGCGTTCTTCCACAATGCGTCCTCACAAATATTTACAATTTTATTTGAAAAAATATTTCAAAGGCCTTTCTAAAACCTACAATGTAGATCGTCAGATAGCCCAGCTTAGATGACGAAACGTGGGAGAAGACGGGGAGGGAATTTCATTGCCAGGAAAAAAATAAAGAAGGGCCGCTGTTCCTTGCAGATCCGGGACAGGGAGCGCGCGGAATGCTTCTTCATACAAACAACGCGCACGCTCGCCGTGTATCGTCTTGGCTTTTGGGTGTGTTTTTTCCGGACCCCCGAGGAGCAGCAGCAGCAGCAGCAGCTGGATTCCAAAAATGCAATATTCATCCGTGATAATCGGAGGGCGGACATTTGCCGGCCACGTCGCTATTCGGCACGGCGCGCGCTGCAAATCAGCAAAATCTGCACCATGTGCACGAGCTGCATTGAATTGTTTTTTTAGCCCCCGCAAAATGTGCTCAATGAAAAAAAAAAAAAGCGGAATCTGTGGAAACTTTGAGAGAATACATTTCATGATAAAAAAAATAAATAATCACGCCACGTGATCCACACGGTTGATTTCAAAGTGAAAAGGTCAAGATACTCAATGCAGCAATTTTCTGAATGAGCGCAGATTCCAACAATAGCGCATCATATTTATGAGGCCTCCATATCGGTCGGGCCTCCATATCATGTCCTCACTCCACATTGGAGCAACACAACAAAATGGTGAACTCGGGCTACGTAAAGTCGTTACCGAGTCATCCCGAAATCGGATCGCAGCCGCCTTTCATCATCATCATCATCGTCGTCATTAAAATGCAACTGAGACTCCGTATCGGCACCGCAGCCTTCAAAAGAGCGACGGGGGCCGTCGTCGCAATCGAGCATTTATGAAGCCTTCAAACGGCGCGCTTATCTCTCATCCTTCCCTTCGGGGGCCGCCATGTCTTATTAAAGCTCCTTTTCAACCGGGAATCAGAGTTTCCCAGAAGCAGATTCCAAAAACAACAACAACAACAAAATCCCCCCCCAAAAAAAGTCGAGTTTAGCATGTTGGCAGTTGGCGAGAAAGGCGGCCTTGACTGTACTTTGTGAAGACCAGTTCAGAATGTGCGATAGAGTGGGGGCGGAAATTAGGACTCACGATACCACCCTGGGGTTTTGTTGTTTTTTTTTTCCCCTCCACACCCCTTTTGCATTGCGTTGGTGGGCGTGTCCGTGCTGTTTGTCGGGCACAGAAGAGGGTGAATGATGTCATGTTTGGTGACATCATTCAGGACAGACGTGTCGGGAAGGGAAGAGCGGGGCCGGAGTTCTCACCACAGCTGCCCTTTGTCCATTCGTGGCTGTTTGAGAAGCAAACCCCCTCATCTCCATCCCCTAGCCTTGTTTTTTTTTATTTTTTGTTTGAATGCTGAATAATTTGCCCACATAATCGTTGAATCCCTGCGAATATAAACAACAACAGCTGACTGACCAGCAATGCAACTCGCACCACAGCTGACAGGACAAAGAGCAGCAGGCAGGCAGGCCACAAGAGGAAGAGGGGGTGGGGGTGGGGGGTAGAGGGCGGGGCTATGCTGGCCCACAGACATACACGCATAGACACCTCCCCCGGTGGGTTCGCCATGTTGCATGTGGCGGGTCCAAGTTGTGAACGCTTGCCAGAGCAAGACGGCTCTCGAAGCGCGCGGCCTCGGACGGGATTGTGGCGACTTTTGGAGCGGCCCACCACCCGGCGCACCTCCGCAGAGCAAGGCCTTCATCCCCTCTCGACTTTCAGAACCAAACCAAGAGCAGTCTGGAGTACGCCGACATATACCGGAGGACGGCCGCGAACGTGAGCCGCTCCCTAATCCGACCCGGGTTGCAAAACCGTTTCGCATCCTGTGCTCTTCCTATTTTGGCCACAAATGTCTTTGCGTGTCTCGAAAAGCTTGATGAACGGTTGTCGTGTTCGTCCCGGTCACACTCTTAACCGGTGGTCCCCAAACTACGGCCCCCGGGCCGGACACGTTTCGCCCGCTGCCCCTGAACAATCGCAGGGAAGCACGACCTTTTTCTTTTTTTCAATCCGGCCACGTGATCAGCTGCTCTGAACGATGCCCACGCCCCTTTTTCAAAGTTGCTTGTGCGGGCCGCTAAAAAAAAGATGGCGGTGGAAAAGGTCCCCGCACCATCGTTTGGACACCCACCGCCGGTCTTCTACATGGCGCGGATGTCCCGCCACGAACGATCGCTGCATTTCTCACGTTGCCACATCCAATATGGCGCAGAGACGGGCCATTCGGCGCACAGCGAGGCATCTCGCATATTCGCGTCTATGAGCTGGCCTGCGCCGCGCATATCCATGTGATAAAACACACCCTTGCTACTCCCCCCCGGCCCCCCTCCCCCGCCCGCTCGTTCGCCACAGCCAGGCTCCTCCCCGCACGAGGAGACGGCGATGGGGAGGCGCAGTCAATCACTAACAGAGAAAGGGAGAGCTTGAGCCGGACGCCGGGACAAAAAGGGAGACGAAAATCGCCGCCGTGCGCCCCCTGCCCGAACCCCAGCCGGGGAAGTGGGGCACGTCGACGCGGGACTGGAGGGAGTCGGCGTCGCTCTCCCACCGGATAAGGAAAAGCAAGGGAGGAGGAAGTCGAGCAACAAGAGGAAGAGAGGGGAGGGTGGGGGGACGGGGGGCAGAGACGGATAAACATAAAAGCATCCATCCCTGCCTCGCAGGGGTTCTCTTTCTCTTTACCCCCC